TTCTTTGATCTTTATAGCTTACATACACCAAAATAATACCACAAAACAATCGGAAAACTATAAGAATTTAATGAAATTTCTCTAACAACTTAAGATGAAGTTTAAATTGATTGTTGCAACACTTTCTTGTGAAGCAAACAGACAGATGTTACATCTTCATCCACACTTCCTTACAATCGCAATTCACGTGGCAGTGTATTTATTTGAACTACAATTTAGTGAATTCCACAATCACAAAGTGGATTACACAGACACCTAGGATTATTCAGAACATTGTAACACATTGAAGACTTAGTCAAATACTCTCGAGGGATTTAATTAGCAAATAACTGGCAAGTGACTTTGCAGAAGGACTGACAAATTAGCTAAAATGAGAAATTTGCATTTTTGCTGAAATTAAAAAATCAAAAGTGAATTGCAGGACTTTTATCTCAACAACGAAATAAGGCAGTCTCCTTACATTGTCCATATTTGTTACCTGCTGTACTCGTGTTTCAAAAACTTTGACAATGCCAATCAGCATATATTAAAAGCGGAAAAGTAAGGAGAAGGACATCTTCATTTGACTAATTGAATTACATGTTCTTACCTACTAAGTTGTCGCTTTAAAAAATCTTTGTTTCAAAGTAAATTAATTCATAGAAAAATTAAAAAGTAATTTCTTTTCAGAAGTGATAATTATAATTAAAATTTATAGTTAGACAATAAAAACGTATTCTTTGAGATATTTGTAGCTTTCTTAGATCTGAGTTGCGTGTTACTTTAAATATGTATTAAAAAGTATTTATGTCTATTTGTAGAATATCATGACCTATTATTGCAAGTCTGGCAAAATTTTACATATATATAAGTAACAAATATTTAATAATTAAATATTTTTAATAATATTTATTTATTTATAATATTTTAAATAATTTCAAGTAAATATTTTTAAACAAGCATTCCATAAATAAAGTTAAGTGGAAAGAAACAAAATGTTTAATATTATTAGAAAAACCATTAAGATAAAATGAGATAAAAATTATAAGTGCTGATACTTTTGTATCAAAGTATGTATACATCAGATATTCTTATCAGTATCTATACTCATTTCTGAAATATTGTATTGTCTTATTTAACTGACTTATCAATAACAGTTATTTAATTTTCATTACTTCTTTTAAATATTTACTTTTACATTTACTCTTAATATTATTATCCTAAATACGTACATTGTTGATGTGTGAAATTTTTAATTAAAAATTTCTTTACATTTTCTTTATTAAAACCACGTCATGGTTCTTCCTCTGTGCCACAATATAAGCTTTACTCACAGATTTTATTAATTTCTCGGTATATTATTTTCCAATACAAATTGTACGCAGAGCCGCCATACATCTACCTTCGGCTGCCTCGCAACTCAGTGCTTTCAATTAAACTCCTTCAGTGAAGCGTTTATTACTTCCATTTTTCTCATAATGCTACTTTCCTTGTAACTTGAATTTAAAATTGCGTCAAAAATAAATTTCGGTAAAGCAGCAGATTTACTTATGCTGCACGGAGAATTATTGAAAGCAAGTGCAACGGAGCATATGGTATATGCATAGGTATATACCAGTACGCCGTAATGTATGCAACGAAAAGTAGCAGAACGTTAAAATTTGCGCATTTTAAATGCAACTTAATTCAGTCTCGTATTAAAAGTTGCACGTACTCACACGCAGTGAGACGAGCACGTTTACTTGTGGTGTTAAAATTATTGGTACTAGCGCTATCAAAATTTGTTGTTCTCCCTCGCAGATGCTGTTACCTGGTAGCAGACCTGGTTGATCTGGCATATGCTGAGTGTTGTTGCTTTTAAAATTTAAAGCTGTACAATGTATGGGAACGAAACTTAACATTGAAATATTGGCAGATTAATTTTGTAATGGAAGCACGATTACTGTAATCAATTTGATTAGACTTGATTTCATTGTTGAAATTGAATGAATATAGTATTTTCAAAAAATTTCGTTTAAATAACTGATTAACAATGAAAATGCTTTAAAAATACTTTAAATAATATGCAATTATTTGCTTTAACAACCCACTAATAGTTCACGCCAAAATTCATTGTGAGAAACTTCATAGGGAACTATTGCAACTGAATGACAACTTCGGTTTCGCAAGTTTTCTTGCCTAATTGCACTCGAAACGCTAAATAAATTTGATGTGTGGCAATTCTGGGCATGTTAGATACAAACACATTTATGCATAGAAGCATACTAAATTGCATACTTATTTATGTAAATACTTCCCCAACATTTTAGTTTAACTCCATTCCAAACCATAAAGTTCAGCGTTCATGTTGGCACTTAAGTCTCTGGTAACTTGCTGAGTAAATTGTGCGTGCAGAAATGAAATTCACATTCACTCAAATACATTTGCATATGTGCAAAATATTTTCAGTAATATAAATACAATCAGATAATATAGTTTATTCAGAAAAGATATTTTTAAATCAAACTTTTTTTGTTATAATCAAAAGTTTTACAAAATTGCATCTTACATCTGAATTTCGAGCTAACATCAGAAGTGCATGGAGTCTCAAGCTTTTGCTTGTACTTAGAATATATCTATACACTTATCAATACTATCTAACGATACCGACAGTTTTAACAAGCAAAACTTTGATTTGTAGTACAGAAAAAATGACATCGAAAAATATCGAAATAGAAGTTCATTTAACAGAAACTAATTCAAGACTTCCAAGAAGAAAATACTTAAAAAAAATGTAGTATTATTAAATATTTTTATATATGTTGTGCAGAAGTAGTGGCTTTTTAACCTGGCGGTTATCCTAGATATACTACCAATCCCAACTTATTTCAATTAAAATTCACTTTTCTATCAGAGACTTCCGCTGTGTTTACACTGGCTAGACTTTGGCAAGATTTTTGCATATATTCACCAATCAAATTCAAAAAGAACACCTATTCGATATCAAACAAAAAAATCTTCCCGAATTCTAAGTAGTGCAGATTTCGTGATAGTTGCGGACCAACTTATATGGCTTATCAAGACCTTTTAAGATTGTCCACTGGCCAGAAATTCCTATATAAGGATATGCCTCAATGCTGAAATTTTTGTTTTGATCCGTAAGGCAGTATAGGATTAGTTTAAAACACAAAAACTCGCCCATGATCGCAATGATTTGATTTATCTTTATTCAAAAACTTAAGGTTTCTCTTTTCGTGATCTATACAATCAACCCACATACTTTAAACACAATTTCCATTGATTGATTTCTAACTTTTTTGAATACAAGTTAATTATATAAATTGTAGTTAGAACCGATGAATCTCTTGGTTGTTACTTTTAAACCCTGTCTTTATATTTATGCTTCTTCTGTACTGAATGGATCCAATGAACTGGCACTTTATTCTAGATTATTAGATTTAAATAATTTATTTAGAAAATTTTGTTTTAATTAATAATTGATGCGGTCAATTCTGAAAAGAAATGCAGAGAAGAACTAATTGAAGCAATATCAGTTAACATTTTATTTTAAAAATAAACATCATCTACTATGACTGAGTAATTAAGCAATTATAATAAAATAATAATAAAAACACAATTTATTAATAAATAAAATAAAATAATATAAAATAAAATAAAATAAAATAAAATAAAGTAAAATAGAATAAAATAAAATGAAATAAAATAAAATAAAATAAAATAAAATAATATAAGATAAAATAAAAAGAAAATAAAGTAAAATAAGTAAAATTAATAAAAAAAAGTAATTAAATAAATTAAGTAAATAAAAATAAAATTTATAAATAAAATAAATAATAAAAATAAAATAAATGAAATAAATAAAATAAATGAAATAAATAAAATAAATAAAACAAAATAAATAAATAATATAAAATAAATAAATAATATAAATAAATTAATATAAAATAAAATAAAATAAAAATGATAGATTGAAACATATCCCTTGACTGCATTGAATAATTCAATTGAACTTCATATGTCTTTTTACCTTTCGAGGTAGAAGTTTTTATAACTATTGTTATTAAACAAATTAACAATCTGTTATCTATCCATTTTAAATTACGTCAAAACAACACTCTTCATTTAAGAATAATTTTAAAAAATTTTATTTTTAATTATAAATTTTAATTAGAAATAACAACCGCCAATTAAATTTAAAATTCGACTAAAAACTGTTGCACTTTTCTCGAAATTTTTACATATTTTCTTTTCATTTAGTTAATGCCATGTCTTAGTCAATCAATAGAAATATTTAAATATTAAATAATTATTTTCTCAACACTTCCATTAATCAATAAATACCATGTCAGTACAAATTTACATCGAAAACGTCAATTATCACACTGCAATTCGTACAAAACGCTGAGTATCTTTTAAATGACAGCCACCAAATTTGTAAGAAATTAGCGATACTAAGTGGAACTTGGGAAAGAGCTTAAGTTGCATTAAAATTACTTAAGATACACACTATGACAACCAAATCATTTGTTGGGGAGTGCGAAGAGTATTTCAAATTACTGACAAACTACAAACCACATTTCACATTTACGCTGGGTTTGCATTTCGCAGATGCATGGCCTGCATCAAGAGCATTCGGCATACGTCAAATGCATTAATTAAGTCAATTATGAAATTTATTGACAAATTCAACTGCAAAGATAAATTTACTCAAAACTCACGTATTTGCGATAATTTGCACTTAAAATATTCCATGCAAAATAAAAGAGCAGCCACAAAAAACAATGCTTGATTGGCATATATCAAATATATCAAAAATCAAAAATCAAATAAAATTATTATTAACATTATTATAAAACTATTTAAAAATACTCAAAGTATTTAAGCAGAAATAATTAAAATAATTCAATTAACTGCTATTAAAAAGTATTTAATGTATTTATTATATTATCAGTCGAAATGAGACTCAATGAGATGGCTTTTAATTGCATTTTAATTAAAATGAATTACATAAATAATTATTTTTTTTTTTATATATTTCAGTACTTGAACCGACCTTTCCATATCGTGATGTGACCATAAAACGCGGCGTTGATGCAAACGAACAGTTTGAAATACTCAGCGAAGTTGGCAGGTTTGAAATAATTTTAAACATCGTTTTGATGCAAAATGATTTTCAAGAAATTATTTACTTAATCTTTAATCTTTTAGAGGAAAGTTCGGCACAGTCTACAAATGCAAAGAGAAGTGCAGTGGCCTTAAATTAGCCGCAAAGTTTGTGCCCATTCCTAAGCGTGAAGACAAACGAAATGTGGAGCGTGAAGTAGAAATAATGAATTCCCTACAGCATCACTTGATAATACAGCTCTACGCCGCGTTCGAGTACCAGAAGATGATGTGTGTTGTGCTGGAATTGTAAGTCAAATAATTAACAAAAAAAAAAATTTTCACTTCTATAGATAGAATTATCCACACCTATTTAACACAAACAGAGAGAGCTCATCTAACTGAGCATTTCAACCACTGAAAATTATTATTCAATCTAATTAAAATTCATTGGATCGATTCCATAGAGGTTTATGTGACAAAATAGATTAATGGCAAGTCAACGTTATTGTAACATGAAAAACGAAGACTTTATTCCTAGTAATCTTGTTGGTATAATTAAATGACCTTGACCTACATATTATTCATTGTTTTTAGTTACAATTTTACACAGGTAAAATAAGTAAATATATGTTTCATCAAGAAATCGTTAATATATTAAGTTTTATCAAAGCAATATGTATTATAACAGGATCAGGAATTCAATACTCATAGTCAGGGCTATACAAACTAGATGCGATAGCGGCCCAATACAAATCACTGCACAGATTGGAGGGTCACGGAAACAAATACATACGTTCATAATTGTTTTCGACAAAATTTTAAATTAAATTTATCAATTTAAATTCATTTATTTGGCGTTCCCTTAAAAATTAAATAATTTAGTTTTATTATTACACCAAAAGAAAATTTGCGTAATTGTAGTAGATTGAAATTGTATAAGATGTCGCGGATCGCACAAATATTAGCCGTGGGTCGCATGTGACCCGCGGGCCGTTCTTTGGACAGCCCTGCTCTAAGTCATTATGACAATTTAACAATCGGTTTAATTACCAAGTTACTGAGTGGACTCGGAGGTATGACCTCACAGCCGATTTACTGCTCTGATAAATAAGAACATTTCATTTTACGAATATTTCTGATATTCATACTTCAGTTGAGATTTTAAAATGGTTTTATCTTTTTATGCTCGTTTTAACTTATTTTGGTTTGCTGAAGTTTGTCAGTCTCAACATCCTTTAAACATCTTTAGAAAATTTCTTTCTGGAAAATTTCTTAAGAATCCTTTATTGTTGTTGTTTATTGTCTGTTTTTCTGCACCTTGTAATAAGGCATTCAATATTGACGAATTGTTCAGAGTAACTTTTTGTTCAATTGTCAACCAAGCAAACTTCTTCTCTCCTCAAGACAAAATGATCACTCTTTTAGGTCACAAGGAGTGTTAGGTCATTTTGTTTGATTTAATCCATTTTAATAAGTTACTTTACTAAACATTGTGTGCAGGGGGAAAAATATATAAATAACATAGTACATTGGAATATACTACGTTTAGTTTTCCACAGGTGACAAGTTTATTAAAGTGGTCCTTCGACTAGGCTTATAGTTTTTATTGTTTAGAGTCTAAAAACGCAATATATAAAAAGGAAAACAAATAAATATATTATTTAAAATGTGTGTTAAATATTCTAAAATATATGAATAGTAATTTTATTAAACAATAACCTTAAATATATAGATATCATTCACTATATATAGTTACTAATTAAAAATTTTATTTGATCTGTAGAGTTGAAGGTGGTGAACTTTTCGATCGTGTGGTCGACGATGAATTTGTACTTACAGAACGAGTATGTGTAGTCATCATTCGACAAGTTTGTGAAGCTATGGAGTTCATACATCGAAACAATATACTTCATTTGGATCTCAAGCCAGAAAATATATTATGCCTCACTCAAGAGGGCAATCGCATTAAAATAATAGACT